CCTCCTCCTCCTCCTCCTCCTCCTCCTCCTCCTCCTCCTCCTCCTCCTCCTCCTCTTCCCCCCAGCCCTCCTCCCCGCAAGGAGGAGGTCGAGGAGGAGCTGTACGTCGGGCGCGTCAGATCCTACGCGGCCTCGCAGGGCTACGGCTTCATAGAGTGCCAAGACACCTCCGAGCGGTTCGGCCGGGACATCTTCCTCCACAGGCCGGGGCTGGGAGGGCGGGGGGGAGGCAAGAGGGCGGCGGGAGCGATGAACGATGATGGTGGTGGTGATGATGATGAGGATAATGGTGATGATGATGAGGGTGGTGATGATGCTGATGATGCTGATGATTCTGCTGATGCTGATGCTGTTGATGATGATCCTGGTGCTGATGCTGACGATGATGAATATGATGCTGTTGCTTTTGATGATGTTGATGATGATGCTGCTGATGCTGCTGCTAGTTATGATGCTGATGATGATTCTGAAGGGGAGGAGGAGGAGGAGGTGGATGAGGATGAGGATGCGGATGAGGATGATTATGCTACTGATGATGATGGTGATGATGATGCCGATGCTGATGCTGATGCTGACGATGCTGATGATGAGGATGAGGATGCTGCTGCTGATGATGGTGATGATGGTGATGATGATGATGATGATGATGGTGGTGGTGGTGGTGGTGATGATGATGATGATGATGATGAGGAGGAGGAGGAGGAGGAGGAGGAGGGAGGAACGGAAAAGGGGAGGAAGAGGGGCGAGAGGGAGGGGATTAGGGGGGGTGATGAGGAGGGACGAGCAGGAGGAGGCGGAGAAGGGCGAAGAGAAGGAGGGAGGGGGGAGAGGAGGAGGAGGAGAGGAGGAGGAGGAGGAGGAGCCTCGCCTCAGTGTGTTTCCTGTCCCGCCAGTAGCATACTTCCCTCACCTGGCTCAGTTTTTCTCTTCGGGGCCAGGGTGTGGTGCCTGAGAGGGGGTCTACTGAAGAGTCCTTGTGCCCGTCTCGCTTTCTGCCTCCTGCTCCCTCCCTTCCTCCATCCTCATGTCTTTCTCCCTCCTCGAAGGACTCTGGAGGTCCAAGGGCCCCCTGAGGCTCCCGGAGGACCAAAAAGGGCAAAGCAAGCAACCAAACCTCGATCCTCAATCGTCGATCCTCCTCCATCTCTCCTTCATCCCTCCTCCTTCTGCTGCTGCTCCTCCTCCAACCCTCCATTCTGCCATCCATTCTCCTACTCCTCTGGGGACGCCTGCGAAGGTTGGGGTTTTCATTTGTTTTTCATGGTTTTAAAAGGGCGGCCCAGGCCCGTCGCCTCGGGCCGCCCCGATGTCGGGCCTCACTGAGCTTTGGTGCGCTCTCCCAGCGTAGCCCAGGATTTCCTCCCTCTTCCTCCTTCTCAGACCAGCCACAGGAGCGAAGGCCCGAAGCGTCCAGCTGCTCCTGCTGCGTACTCGTGCCTGCCTGACCCCTTCTCCCTCCTGCATGCTGGCCGACTCGCTTTGCGGTGCCCCCGTCCAGCTCTTTCGCTGGCGCAGCCCAGCCGCCGACGGAAAAAAAACGCTGCCTACTCGCTCCCTCCCTCCTCCCTCCCTCCCCTCCCCCTCCCTCCCCCTTCCCTCCCTCCCTCCCTCCCCCTCCCCTCCCTCCCTCCCTATTCCCCCTCCCCCTCCCCTTACCTCCCCCTTCTCCACCCTCCCCCTCCATCCCTCTCTCCCTACGAAAACCTGCTGCTCCCTCCCCTCCCCCCCCCGGCCTGCCCCGCACGTCTGCCCGCCTCGGGTCGCGCCCCTCCGGGCCTGCCCATGCCGTCCTCCGCCGGGGAGGCCTGCGCTCTGTCGGCGCCGCATCGCTGCTCTGCTGCTGCTGCTGCTGCGCCCCCTCCTTCCGCTGCTCTCCCCCTCCTTCTTCTTCTCTTCCCTCTTCTCCTTCTCTTCTACCTTCCCCTCCTCCTCATCCTTCTCCCCCTTCTCCTCCTCCTCCTCCTCCTTCTCTTCCCCCTCCTCCACTTCCTCCTGCTCCTCCTGCTCCTCTCCTCTTCCTCCTGCTCCTCCTCCTCCTCCTCCTTTCCTTTCACCCCTTTATCTTATGAGTAACTCCCCCGTGTCGCACCCCCAGACGTGTCGGTAGGGCGGGCCCGGCGTCTCGTATGAGATTTCGTCACCACTTATGACCCTGAAGTTTGACATTTCCAACCGCTTCGAGGATGGAGGACGGGCGTGGTTTTCAACATGGAGCCCTCGCCTCTCCGCATATCCGTTTTACAGCCTTGCAAGAGTTGCACGGATGGAGGGCGAGCCGTTTTCACAATGTGGCTCTCGCCTGAGAGCCACAGTTTGCAATAGTGTCGGAGATGGAGGGCGGGCCGTTTTCAAAATGGGGCGCGCTCGCCTCAGCGCCGCGCGCATTCGTCTGAATTGATTGCTGCATTTTCAGGGACGGTGGCAGGTTCCTTTTTCAACGCGGGGCTCTTGCTGGAGACTTCGAGATTCAGTCAGATTCCAAGAGAAGCTTGAGCAGATGCAGCAGCTGCACGGATGAACGGCTTGTCCTTCATCGAAAATGGGCGTGCGTTTGTGACTTCTTTGAATCAAATAGCTTCCAAGTTGAACGTATGGTACAGCTGCGCCGATGGGGCGCGGCTCCTATTCAAATGGAGACTCTGACTTGGTTCTTTCGTGCCGCCCATGGCCAGAAGTGACATCTTGCGCAAGATTTATTCTCCCTCCTCCTTCCCCCTCTGCTGCTTCGACACTACTACGACCACGACTACGATTACGATTACTATAGTTATTACGACGACTACGACTACTACTTGTATTACTTCTTTTGCTACTACTACTACTACTACTACTACTACTACTACTACTACGACTACTACTGCTACAACTACTACTACTACTACTACTACTACTACTACTACTACTACTACTACTACGATTACTACTACTACTACTACTACTACTACGACTACTACTATACTACTACTTCTTCTACTTGCTACTGCTATACTACTAGTACTACTTACTTACTATACTACTACTACTACGACTTACTACGACACTACGACTACTACGACTACTATACTATACTACGGCTACTACTACTACTACTATACTACTATTACGAGACGACGACGACGACGGACGACGACGACGACGACGACGACGACGACGACGACGACGACGACGACGACGACGACGACGACGACGACGACGACGACGACTACTACTACTACTACTACTACTACTACTACTACCAGTATCACTAATACTACGATTACTATTATTATCATTACTACGATCACTACTACCACTATTGCGACGACTACGGCTACGGCTACGACTACGGCTACGACTACGGCTACGACTACGACTACGGCTACGGCTTCGACTACGGCTACGACTACGGCTACGACTACGACTACGACTACGACTACGACTATGACTACGACTACGACTACGACTACGACTACGACTATTACTAATACTACTACCACTACTACTACTAGTACTAGTACTAGTAGTACTACTACTACTACTACTACTACTACTGCTATTACTACTGCACTACTACTACTTACGACTACTACTACTACTACTACTAATACTACTACTATACTATACTTACACTACTACTACTATACTACTACTACTACTACTACTACTACTACTACTACTCACTACTTACTAACGCTACTACTATTGCTTCTTTACTACTAATTCTACCACTACTTACTTACTTACTACTCCTACTCTACTAGCTACTGCTACTGCTACTGCTACTGCTACTACTACCACACTGCTGCTACTACTACTATTTCTACTACTACTACTACTTACTACTTACTACTTACAACTACTTACTACTACTTACTACTACTTACTACCTTACTACTAACTACTACTACTCTACAACTACTACTACTACCACGACTACTACTACTACTACTACTACTACTACTACTACTACTACTACTACTACTTCTACTACTACTACTACTACTACTACTACTACTACTACTACTACTACTACTACTACTACTACTACTACTACTACTACTACTACTACTACTATTCTCGGAACCACACATTGTTTTCACGGTTCCATGCCCCTCCTGCCCCCTCCGGGGAGGCCCCGCCAGAGCGAGGACGCTATCGAAACCACACATTATTTACACGGTTTCGTGCACCCTCCGACCCTTCCAGGGAGGCCCCATCAGAGCGAGAAGGGTATCTGAACCGCACATTATTTACACGATTTCGTGCCCCTCTCACCCCCGCGAGGAGGGTATTGGAACCACACATTATTTACACCGTTTCGTGCCCCTCCCACCCCTCCAGGGAGGCCTCGCCAGAGCGAGGAGGGCATCGGAACCACACATTGTGTACACGGTTTCGTGCCCCTCCTACCCCTCCTAGGGAAAGCTGCCAGAGCGAGGACGCTGTCGGAACCACACTTTCTTTACACGGCTTGGTGCCCCTCCCACCCCTCCAGGGAGTCCCCGCCAGAGCGAGGACGCTGTCGGAGCCACACATTATTTGCACGGTTTTCTGCCTCTCCCACATCTCCAGGGAGGCCCCGCCAGAGCGAGGAGGGTATTGGAACCACACATTATTTACACGGTGTCGTGCCCCCCTCATCCCGCTAACCCAGTAACATCATTACACGGGTAACTCCTTTAGTTTTTTTGCTTGTTTGGAGATCTCGCTGGATTCTCGTTGAACTGTATGCTGATACTGTTGCGCATTCCTTATTGTATCGCTTCGCTCATTCCGCCGGCCCATATTGCCTCGCCGCTTGGGGGCCGTGTTGGGGCCTCTTGGGGGCCTCTAGGAGACAGTTTTGAGGCCTCTTGGGGCCGTGTTGGGGTCTCTTGGGGCCTCTTTGGGGGCCTCTTGGGGCTTCTTGGGGTGCCTCTTGGGGGCCCCTTGGGCCCTCTTGGGGGTCTCTTGGGGCCTTGATATTTTTGTACATTCCTGATAACTCGCTGGAAGGAAGAGGAAGAGGAGCAGGAGGAGCAGGAGGAGGAGGAGTAGGAGGAGGAGGAGGAGGAGCAGGAGGAGGAGGAGGAGGAGGAGGAGGAGGAGCAGGAGGAGGAGGAGGAGTAGGCACGACCAAATCGAGCAGAGTGCGCAGAGCAACAGACCAGCAAAGAGAACGAGCAGGAAAAAAGGACGAGCACGCGCAACACTACGATTAAAGGGAAGAAATCTCGAACGAGCGAATTCGCGAATTCGAGCTCACCTCAGACGAAGCCAAAAACAGGCATCGTCTGATGGGAAAAGTGGGCGGGGCTCACCCCTCCACTCCCCCGAGATTGGATCCTTACCAGCCTCGAGGGACTTTAAATAGGAGGCGTCTTTACTGGACGCAATACCCTCGCAGCGGCCCCAAAGACGGATCGAGGGGCCGACGGCTGGGCCCTGGCCCCGAACCGACGGCAAAAAGCAAGGGTAGCTCCAGCAAGACTGATGTGATGCCCCCTAGCAGTACTGGAGAAGGAGGAGGAGGAGGAGGAAGAGGAGGAGGATGAGGAGGAGGAAAGCGGGGCTCTTCAGGGAATGGCCGGCCCATAGGGTGCTGGTCTTTCCAGGGGGGCGTGCATCCTGAAGCGGAGAGGAAGGCTTATAGGGATTGATGAAGGGGGGAGTTGGGCTGGGAGGATGTAGTGCAGCATCGCTGATGCATTTTCCCCTCGCCCCCTCCTCCACCCTCCTCTACCTCCTCCCCCCTCCTCCCCCCTCCTCCCCCTCCTCTTCCTCCCTTCTCCCCCCCCTCCCCCTTCTCCTTCACCTCCTCCACCTCCTCCTCCCGGCCTCCCTTCGTTCAAGAGGCTTGCGCCATCCCGCCGACCCCATGAAAAGAGAGCTCGCGACGATCGCGGAACCCATCCTGATCCTTCGGGCCTGCTTACATGGGCCCACAACGCGGCCCTCTTGGAGCCGTCGGGGGTCTCTTGGGACCTTCGGAGCGGCCAGGATGAGGATGAGGAGGAGGAGGAGGTGGAGGAGGAGGAGGAAGAGGAGGAGGACGCACGTACCAGAGGTCACCAGGTGAGGGACATTCTCCACTCGTGCGGCCTTTTCGTTCCTCGTGGGGACCTTTTGGGACGTCTGAAGGCTTCTTTTGGGCCTGTTGGGACCTGTTAGGGCCTCTTGGACTGAGCGCCTGCTGGCGGTCTCTCTCTATATTCTCTCTCTTGGGCCCCTCTTGAGGCCCTATTGGGGTCCTCTTGGGCTGTCTTGGTCGCTTCTTGGGGTCTTGGGGCCCTCTTGGCCCGTCTTGAGGCCTTCTTGGGGGCTTTTTGGGCAGCTTTGGAACGATCTTGCGGCCCTCCTGTGCCATGTCGGACGCTGTTGATACCAAAAAGGTGAACATGCAAGACATGCACGTCTTCTACAGGGATTGGGGCGATTTTTGCCCCTTGGGACCTTCTTGGGAGTCTCTCCAGAGCCCTCTTATGACATCTTCGAAGCCTCCTGGGCCGTCTTGAAATCATCTTGTGTGCTGGAGCCAAGCTTGAGTCAGCTTAGATGGCGTTCATCTTGGAGGCCACAGAGTGTAGATTTGGAGGCCCCGGAGGCCCAAGGGTTGCGTCAGCGTGGTCTGTCACCTCTTCCCCCACAGCCCCCACCTCTAATACGACTCTGGGCCACAGGGAGGGGGAAAGTGGGAGGAGGCCAGAGGAGGAGGAAGGGAAGGAGGATGAGGAGTGAGGGGAGGCTTGGGCGCAAGGGCGGGAGGAGGAAGAGGAGGAAGAGGAGGAGGAGGAGGAGGAGGATGAGGATGAGGAGGAGGAGGAGGAGGAGGAGGAGGAGGAGGAGGAGGAGGAGGAGGGTGGGGGCGCGGGGGAGAGGAGGGAGGAGGAGGAGGAGGAGGAGGAGGAAGAGGAGGAGGAGGAGGAGGAGGAGGAGGAAGAGGAGGAGGAGGAGGAGGAGGAGGAGGATGAGGAGGAGGAGGAGGAGGAGGAGATTGCGATTACGGTTGCGCTGAATGCGGTGACCAGAAGCAAGCCTGGGTGCACATGACACTCACCGCCTAACGGGGAAACACATACCTGACTTAGGCGGGAGCCCTCGAGACAACCGAGGGAGGGCCTCCCGCCCCTTCGCAGATGGAGGCCCGCATTCACACAACAGTTTGCGGGCCTGATCAACACCGAAGACCCCGCACACTCGACAAAACAACACGCCCTGACATGTAGCGAGAGTGTACGAGGGATGGACGGCAGAGAACAAGGGATGGTCGGAGGGGCCAGCCAATCATCTCACACGCCTTTTCACTCCTGGCAAGCGGGGGTCAGCGGATTCCCCCTCCTCATCCTCCTCCTTCCCCTTGCTTGTTTAGTCCTCCTCTGGCTTCGGGAGGCCTCTGGAGACCTCTAGGGATGTCCTTCCCCTCCTTCCCTCCTCCCTCCTTCTCGTCGTAGTCCTCCTCCGCAGTCCTTTTTGGTTGGGTGAGGCTTGGCTGAGAATGAACCCGAGTGCGGTGAAACCACCTCCTGCAGGCTGCTCTGGCGAACTGCTGCCAGATAATATCCGAGCCATCCAGCAGCTGAGCCAAAACGGCACCGTCCTACACCGCTCGAATGGCCAACTCATTATTGTGTGAATTCCTCTGTACGGCATTCAAAAAGTTGGGGCAATGGAAGACCCTGGCGGAGGAATCTTTGAGGTTTCGGCGAAGTCTTGAAGGTCTCGGCGCTGGATCCCCAAAAGAATGGTCCCAATGCGTCCTGAGATCGTGGTGCAGTTTTTTTTGCCTCACGGGAGCTATGAGTTGGTCCTTCTGTGGAAGCTCTGTGTTGTTAACATGTGCAATGCTTCGTGTATTCCCACCAGTCCAACTACAAACGATCCCCATGCGAGTTGCATAGATCAGGGAAGTGTAGAAGCATGCGGTGGAACAGAGAGGAGAAGCAGCAGTTAAACCAAAGCTCGGGATCAGCTTGATCAGACCACTGAGTCAATTGTCAAGGCTTTCGCCGTTCGTTGGACCCTCTTGGCCGTCATTGATGACATCGGTAAAACAGTGGATAGGGTTGCCCATCTGAGCCTCGAAATTTCGCCTCTTGGAGCTCTCTTGGGGAGATCTTGTGGCCACCTTGAGACCTTAGAAGCCAATCGGAAGAGAAAAGACGATCATGCAAAACACATTGAAACACTTCAGGCTGATGATATATGCTTTTGCCTCGGGGCGTTCTTGGGCGGCTCCGAGGCCACTTGAAACAGTCTCTGGGCCGTCTTGGGGCGCATGCTGTAGGCCATCTTGAGCCAACCCGGACCATCTTGCGCCATCATGAACGGCCGTCTTAAACCGTCTAGACCTATCTGCCATCCTGGCCCAAAAGCCTCCCAAAAGGCCCCCGAGACTCCCAACTCACTCAATCACCTTCTGCTTTTCATCGACTTTGGCTTTGGGCCTAGGGGGGTCCTCAATGAGCGTCACCTCGTCGGAGCCCGACAGGTGGCCGTTTGGGGCTCACTTTGTGTACGCTGGGGGCGCTCCTGTGTGGTCTGGGGGCCGTTTCGAGGCCTGTGCGGGTCCCTCTTGTGGGGCTCTTTCGGGCGGTCTTGGAGTCATCTTGACGCATCAGAAGCCAAGCGGAAGATGAAAGGCGAGAGTGCAACACGCACATTGGAAGGCAGTCGCTATTTTGCCGAATTTTGGCCTCTCGGGGTTCTCACCAGGAGGCTCCGTACCCACTTGGAGCCGTTTGGTGGTCTTGAGGCCTCTTGGAGACACGTTGGAAGCTAACTTGAATAGTCTCGGGCTGTATCGTGCCATCTTGAAGGCCGTCTTAGGCTATCTGAAGCCCTATCGGGACCAACTTGGGCCACTTTGAATGCTGCTAATCTGCCACCCACCCAGACCCAGGTGAGAGAGTTCCCCTAACAATGCCGGCGGACCCCGCCAGTCGATTGTTACCCTGGAGCTGGCCCAAGACGACTATACAAGCCAAGACAACGCTGTGCAAAACACGACAAGCAAGACCTGAAAATACATGCCAAGATGGCCTCAAGACCCCACAAGAGGGTCACCGAGGGGCCCAACTCCTTGAATCACATGGGGGAATTTCGTATTTCTGCCTTCTCGCTTTTTCGCTCTGGAATGATCTTGGAGCATCAAGATGACCGTAAGATGGCCCTCAGAGAGCCCCAAAAAGGGCCCAGAAGGAACCCAAGACGGCACCAGAGGCCGCCGAGAGGGCCCCGAGAGGACCCCAAGAGGGCCCCGAGCAGCTCCAACTTTCGAAAAGGCCAACGAGTACCAGCGTCGTTGACGCCAAACTGGCCCCAAACGGCCCACAGAGGCTCCAAGAGGCCACCAAGAGGCTTCCCAAGCGAGCGCAAGAGGTCCCTAGGAGGCTTTGCCAGGCGGGGCGGGGGGGGGGGTAAAGTGGGGTCCAGAGATGTTGAACCCCATCCCCAAGGGGAGGGAGGGAGTTGGAAGAGATAACTCCCTAAACAACCTTCGCCCAGAGAGGCTGGTGGGGCTCCTCCTCCTCCTCCTCCTCCTCCTCCTCCTCCTCCTCCCACCTCCTCCTCCCCCCTCCTGCTCCTCCTCCTTCTCCTCCGCCTCTTCCTCCTCCGCCCCTTCCCCTCCTCCACTCCTTCCTTCCCCTCCCTGGGCAGGAGCCAGGTCGAGGAGGGCTCGATCAAGCGGGCCAAGCCAGGGGACCTGCTGCGCTTCACGTTGGAGCTGAACGAGAAGGGCCACCCGCAAGCGAGAAACGCGGAGAGCTCAGCTCGAGGAAGAGGAGGAGCAGGAGGAGGAGGAGGAGGAGGAGGAGGAGGAGGAGGAGGAGGAGGAGGAGGAGGAGGAGGTGGATGGGGGGAGGAGGGGGAGGAGAAGGAGGAGGAGGATGAGGAGGAGGAGGCGGAGGAGGAGGAGGAGGAGGAGGAGGCGAAAGAAGACGAGGATGACGAGGAAGAGAGGGAGGAGGAGGGAGTGCACGAGGGTGAGGAGGAGTGAGCAGAGGGAGGAGGTAGGGATTGAGGGAGAGGGGAGGAAAAGGATGGAGAACGACTGGCGAGACAGCCATCGGGGTCCGCAACAAAAACGACCTGGAGCAGAACGCAGGCCGCTAGTATGGGATTAGAACTCCAGGGCCCACGTTGCAAAAAACACGGCGTCGGATGTCTGGGAACGTGGTCAATCCCACCCATGCGATGGACGTCGTTACATTGAGGCGCTCGCAGGAGCGATGCCTCTCGTGCGAATATCTCGATCGCGCCGGTCTTCCCATCAGCCGGGCGCGTGCCGTGCCAGCGGCTCTCGCAGATCCGATCGCGATGCCGGGTCGATAGTAAGCGGAGCTTCACGGCGGTACTAGGGGGCCGCATGCGAACCCTACCCCACCACCCCCCACGATTTCTGAGGGGGAGGGTGGGGTTCACTTCGCTCGGGAGCTCCCGAAAGAAGTGAACCCCACCCTCCCCCTCAGGAAACGTGGGGGGTATGGGGTAGGGTTCGCATGCGGCCCCCTAGGTACGGTCAGGAGGGGAATGATGATGATGATGATGATGATGATGATGATGATGATGATGGTGGTGGTGGTGGTGGTGGTGGTGGTGGTGGTGATGATGATGATGATGGTGGTGGTGGTGGTGGTGGTGGATGATGATGATGATGATGATGATGATGATGATGATGATGATGATGATGATGGTGATGGTGATGGTGATGGTGATGGTGATGATGATGATGATGATGATGATGGATGATGATGATGATGATGATGATGATGATGATGATGATGATTCTGATGATGATGATGATGATGATGATGATGATGATGATGATGATGATGATGATGATGATGATGATGATTTTGATGATGATCAGGAGGAGGGTACCGCGGGCCTTCCTGAGGTCGAGCGGTACGAGGAACCGAAGACGTCGGCCAAGTCGGCCGGGGAGCCAGACCTGCAGGCGCACGTCGGCAGGGTGAAGACGTTCTCCTCGGCGATGGGCTACGGATTCATCAGCTGCGACGAGACGTGGGCCCGCTACCAGAAGGACGTGTTCCTGCACAACAAGCAGGCCGCCGAGGCGGGCATCGCGGTGGGCGATACGGTGAGGTTCACCGTCGAGCTCAAGGACGGGGGTCGGGGGCGGGAGGGGCGGGGAGTGGGGGCAGGAGCAGAGGGAGGGGCAGTGTGGAGGGATGAGGCGGAACAGGTAAGCCACCTCAAGGCTAAGAAGCTGTCAGCTCCGTCTGGCGGAGCCGCGGCCGCTGCAGAGGAGGATTCAAACTAGGTAGGCTCCATCTCCGCTGACAGCCATCGAATCATCATCACCGTCATGTTTTGATCGCGGACAGGTGGGTTCGTCATAGGTGGCTGTCGAACCACTTGCGAAGCATACTTTTCACGGGGGAGCAGGGATGAGCAGGAGGGAGTATGGGCTGGAGGTGCGACCTGCCGCGTTCCTTTCTTGGAGGCAGCGGCAACCTCACACGCGTGGCAAGTGCACAGGGCTGATCCGGGCAAGCGGGCCCCCGCCTGCGGGCTCCGGCGCAGCCCCGCCTGCGACGGCCGCTCTTTGCTTGCATGCCGGATGGGTGGCAACGTCCGGCTGCCTGCTGCAGGTCCCGCCACCATGCCGGGCCAGCATGCTGGGTGGCGCCTGTTCGGGGGGGGTACGGAGGGCCGTCACGTGCGACACCTCGAATCTCCAGGCTTGGGAGAGCCACGATGACGAGGAGGAGGCTGATTCTGATAATGATGACGACGGCGGCGGCGACGACGACGATAATGATGATGACGATGATGATGCTGCTGCTGAAGATGATGACTATGAGGAGAACGAGTATGGTTGTTCTTGTTGATGATGATGACGATGATGACGGCGATGATGATGATGATGATGATGATGATGATGATGATGATGATGATGATGCTGATGCTGATGATCATGATCATGAGGATGAGGATGACGATGATGATTATGGTGCCGATGATGATAGTGATGATGATGATGTTGATGATGATGATGAGGATGACTTTGCTGATGCTGATGCTGATGCTGATGCTGATGACGATGATGATGATGATGATGATGATGGTGGTGGTGGTGGTGATGATTGTGGTGATGGTGGTGATGATGATTACGGTGATGGTGGTGGTGGTGGTGGTGATGGCGATGGTGATGGTGATGATGATGATGATGATGATGATGATGATGATGAGGGTGGTGGTGGTGACGACGACGACGATGCCGATGACGATGATGATGACGCTGTTGTTGTTGCTGTTGATGCTGATATTGTTGATGTGACGATGACGACGACGGTGATGATGATGATGATGATGATGATGATGACGATGTTGATGATGACGATGCTGCTGATGATGATGCTGATTCTGATGATGATGATGATGATGATGATGATGATGAAGATTATGATGATGATGATGATGATGATGATGATGATGATGATGATGATGATGATGATGATGATGATGATGATGATGATGATGATGATGATGATGATGATGATGATGATGATGATGATGATGATGATGATGATGATGATGATGATGATGATGATGATGATGCTGATGATGATGATGATGATGATGCTGATGATGCTACTGATGATGCTGATGATGACGATGATGATCATGGTCATAATGATGGTGGTGATGCAGATGAGGAGGATAATGCTGCTTCTGATGATGGTTCTATGATGACGATGGTGGTGGTGGTGATGATGGTGGTGGTGGTGGTGATGATTATGATGATGACGAGGAGAAGGAGGAGCATGAGGAAGAGGAGGAGGAGGAGGAAGAAAAAAGGCTGACACATTCGACACTTTTCGTCTTCACTAATTGAGGAGCTCTCATGGGGCACGTTTTGGCTGTAGTGTGGCTGTCTTGGCTTGCCGTGGGACAGTCTTGTGGGTCCCTTGGGGCCCTCTTGGGCCATCTTGAGGCCTTCTTCGGCCGCCTTGGGGCTCTCTTAGGCCGTATTGGGGCCCTCTGGGCCGCTCTGGTGGGTGCCTGAGGACCGTCGTGGGGCCGTCTTTGCGCCGTCTTGGGCAGTCGACGGGCCTTCCGTCTTGGGTCCCACGGGAGATCCTCTTGGGCCGTCTTGGGGCTGTTTTGGATACCTCTTGGGCCCTCGTGGGGTCCCTCTTCGAACACGTTCGGACCCTCGTGGGGGCGTGTGGGGCCCTTCTAGGGCCATCGTGGAGGCTTCTTGGGCATCTTGAGATGCCAGACGCCCGAAAATGCGAGAATGCGGAAGTTGGCTTGTTCGGGCCCTGCTGGAGGTCTTCTTGGGGCCCTTTTGGGCACTCTTGGACACATCTTGGATCTTGGGCCCGTAAGGGTAGCGTTACAGAGATCTCCCAAAGACTTCCCAGAGGTCTCCTCCTCTGAAGAGGAGGTCTCTGGAAGGTCTCCCCTGGTCCTCCAGGAGACCTCTGGGCAGAGACCTCTCGGAGGACCAGGGGAGACCTCCCAGAGGCCTCCTCCTCTGGAGAGGAGGCCTCCCAGGAAACTTCCCCGAGGACCAGGGGAGCCCTGCCAGAGGCTTCCCCTGGTCCTCTGGGAGGTCTCTTCTCCGGGGGCCTCCTATAGTTTTCCTGAAACTCTTCTCCCCTTGGGACCTCCTGGCATAAGATGTTCGAGAACCTCTGGGCCCGCGCAGGAGACCTCTGCGAGGACCAGGGGAGACCTTTGGGAGCCTCCCCTAGTCCTCCTGGAGGCCTCCCCCTCCTGGAGACTCCTGGAGGAAGAGGAGGAGGAGGAGGAGGAGGGGGAGGAGGAGGAGGACCTGTGTAAACCCAAGGCTCATCAATGATGTTGGAAATAACCCTCCCACGCTCCCTGAGGGCACTCCCTCTTTGGGACACAACCGCTTGAAGACCCTGAAGCGTGCCAAAACACTCATTCTCGGGACTCCAACGCCACGAATCAACCTGATTGTTGCGTCTTGACGGTCTTGAATCGCGCAAGAATGCCATTCTTTAGACTGCAATGCCGCCAATCAAGGTAACGGTTGCGCCCTCACAATCCAGAGTCCTTCAAAAATGCAACCTCTGGTACGTTGGCCATGGGAATCCGTGAAACTCTTGCACATATTTTAGACGAGTGTGCCCGGTGCTACGGCGAGAGCCACATTTTGAAATGGAGCCGTCCTCTATCCGTGAAGCTCTGGCGAACTTTCAAGACGAGTGTGCGCGGCGCTAAGGCGAGAACCATTTTTTGAAAAGGACCCGCCCTCAATCCGTGAAACTCTGGCGAATTTTAAAGACAAGTGTTCGCGGCGCTCAGGCGAGAGCCCTATTGTGAAAATGACCCGCCCTCAATCTGTGAACCTCCCGCACATTTTTAAAGCGAATGTGCGCGGCGCGAAGGCAAGAGCCACAGTTTGAAAACCACCCGCCCTCCAGTTGTGAAGCTGTTGCCAATTTCTAAGCTGCAGGGCCATAAATGGTGGAGAAGTCTCATGTGAAACGTTCGGCCCGCCCTGTTGACCGGCCTCGGGGTGCGACAAGGAGGAATTATTTATAAGACTAAGGCATGTTGGAGGAGGAGGAGGAGCAGGAGAAGGAGAAGGAAACGAAGGAGGAGGAGGAGGAGGAGGAGGAGGAGGAGGAGGAGGAGGAGGAGGAGGAGGAGGAGGAGAGGAGGAGGAGGAGGAGGAGGAGGAGGAGGAGGAGGAGGAGGAGGAGGAGGAGGAGGAGGAGAGGAGGAGGAGGAGGAGGAGGATGAGGAGGAGGATGAGGAACATGAGCGGGAGCAGCAGGAGGAAGAGGAGGAGGAGGAGGAGGAGGAGGAGGAGGAGGAGGAGGAGGAGGCAGATGAGGAGGAGGATGACAAGGGAGATGAGGAGGAGGAGGAGGAGGAGAAGGAGGAGAAGGAGGAGGAGGTCGAGGAACAGCACCGCCAGCCAATGGGGCAGCAACCGGAGAACTTGCGATCGAGGACCGGGCGAAGGGTCTCCCATTTATGCGAGAACCTGGATGTGCGGAACATTACGTAGGCCCTTGTTGTCCCGGGCTTGTGGGGACACGAACGGTCACTGCCCAACAGGGGGCTGGCGACCGGGGCCAACGCAGGGCGGCCCACGGCCCCAGCCGACCTTGAGAAGTCATGGACAAAATGCAGAGCGACCCACTGCAACGCAAAGGACAACTCTGCGGGGCGGTCCCTGAGCATCGTTGCTCATCTTCGCTGGAGCAGCCCAGGCGGCGTCTTGGCTGGTCTTACCGCGCCCGGTCGATTCCCGGGTGGGGCAGCCGCGCAGCCCGCCAACCGCGCCCACTCTTCCCCCGCCCCCCCCTTCTCTTCTCAGCCCTCCGGCGCCCCGTCCTGGCCCGTCCGACCCGACCCGCCCGACCTGGCCCGCACGTTAGGGTGCACGCGTGCCACCCCGATGGTGCATCACATGTCGATATCCCGCCCGCCTGGCCCGACCCGCCCGCCAGGCTCTGGTGGAGGACCAGGGGAGGTCTCCAGGAGGCCTCCCCTCCCTGCGAGGAGGCCTCCTGGGAGGTCTGGTGGAGGACCAGGCAGCTCGCCATCCTTGCTTGGGCAGTCGTGAGACCATCTTCTGTCGCCTTGGGGCCACCTTGGCCCGTCATCGAGGCACCTTGGGTCATATTGGTTGCCTTGGTTGCCTGCGTTGGCCGTCTTGGAAGTTCGGGACGCGGACCCATACCCTGCAGATCATCACCTGGCATTCCAATACCCCCACATCGTGCAGGCACCGTGGCGGATTATCACCTTGTCTTCACCTTGGCAGCGAGGGCCGCAAGCCAGCACGAGTCCGCATCCGAAGAGATGCCCGTTGGGCACCGAGTCGGCCGTTCAGTTGACGCCCAGTCGAGGCGTTTGACGCACGTGGTGGCGGACTTCTTCCGCAGGAGGGGGGGGGGGAGGACGAGGACGGGATTCGAGGCGGAAGCTGGCGGCGGGAGAGGGAGGAGCAGGGAGGAACACAAGGAGGGACTGGAACGGCCCTGCTGCCAGAGGTGGGGTTTCGCCAGCAGCCTGCTGCTGAGCGTTTTTCTTTGGGGGGTCCCCGCCGCCTCCGCCGTCGCCGGCCCGACCTGGCCCGGCCCCGAGCCAGAGGACGGAGGCCGGCCGCAGGCTCGCGACGTGCAGAAGGCGGGTGCCGCCAGAGTCCTGCTGCTTTTCCTCCGTCCACTCCTTTGCAAAGATCCTTGGTTCTCGTCGTCCTCCTCCTCCTCCTCTTTCTCCTCTTTCTCGTCCTCCTCCTCCTCCTCCTCCTCCTCTTTCTCCACCTTCTCCTCCTCCTCCTTCTCTGCATGCATGGCTTCTTGACGTCTGGTCTGGTCGAAAATAAATGTACTTGAAGTCAGTTCAGGCAGCAGACAGAGTGCATTCACAGTGCTTTTTGAGGCCAGCGCAGCCTTCAGAGTTCACGCCTGCAGAGTGGGCCGCTTCTCCCTCCTCGTCCTCCTCCTCCTCCTCCTCTTCCCTCGTCCCTCCTTCCCCCCTTGTGGGCAGGCACGGCCTGGGGGTCCCAGTTCCCCTTGCAAAGGGCGGCTGCGCTTTCGCGTGGGACTTCCTTGCAGTTCATTCAGACGCCGCGCCCACGACACTCAGGAACTACGCTCTCCCTGTGGATTTACTCACGACTTAACTTATTTGGGAATCGCGCTATCGTTCGAGACTTCTCCCCGATAAATGCAGGACGCACGCTTCAGCGACCCGCCTGCTCGACCTGGCCGTCTGGGCCCGCCTTCCCGACCCGCCCGTTAGGGTCTACCCGCCCGATCTGCCCGTCTGGTTCTGGCAGGTGTTTTCTGCTCTTAGCACTGCCCCCCTCGTGCTATTCTCGTGCTCCATGCTCCTCCTTCCCCCTTGTCCCTTCCTTCCATCCTTCCTCTCTTCCCTGCCTTAGGGGCTGCACGAAATGCACGTTGCAGGTGAGACAGATAAACCACTAAGGTTGTCCGATCGAAGACGAAGAGGGCGGGTATCGATGGTTTGGGATGTACGTGATGAATGGCACGCGAGCCGATAAGAGCGAACATGCTTAGCATTACTTTTTTTGCTGCTGTTGTTGTTGTTGCTGCTGTAGGTGTAGTTGTTGTTGTCGTTGCTGTTGCTGCCGCTGTTGTTGTTGTTGTTGTTGTTGTTGTTGTTGTTGTTGTTGTTGTTGCTGGTGCTGGTGCTGGTGCTGTTGTTGTTGTTGTTGTTGTTGTTGTTGTTGTTGTTGTTGTTGTGATTGTTGTTGTTGTTGTTGTCGTCGTCGTCGTCGTCGTCGTCGTCGTCGTCGTCGTCGTCGTTGTTGTTGTTGTTGTTGTTGTTGTTGTTGTTGTTGTTGAATTCTCATTTCTGAAGAAAAATTATTGTTGATCCCCCCCACCGGTGCAGATTGTTTTTTCTCAATCAAAATGTGCCCCTCGACGCTCGCACCCTGTTCTTTGACATGGAAAGTCTTCCTGCTCAAACTGGGCCCTTGGCCCCCGGGTTACAACAACAACGGCTCCCGCTTGAGACTTCCTTACAATTTAGCCAGGACCCCCGCTCCCGCCCGAGACTTCCTCGCATTTTATTCAGGAATCGCGCTCTCGCTTGGGACTTCCTTATAATTGATTAAGGAATCGCGCTCTCACTGGAGACTTGCTTGCAATTTACTGAAGAATGGCCTTGCGTTGGAATTCTTGCAATTTGCCCAAGCGACGCGCTGCCGACACCCAGGCACCCAGGAGTCGCGCCCGTTGTCGCCCCATGTGCATGCCCTTCGTGGCCCCGCTGTCGCCATTTGTGTCCCCCTCACTGTCCTACGTGGCCCAGTTGCTACCCTCAGTGGCCCCATAGTTGCCTTCTGTGGCCCCGCATTATCTGCACTTTGTGGCCCCCGCTCGTTCGTGCTTTTCGTGGCCCCATACGCATTCCCTTCGTGTCCCCGCTGTCGCCCTTCGTGGCCTACTTCGTGCCCTTCGTGGCCCTGCTGTCGTTCTCTCTCGCTCTCGCTTTCGCTCGTCGTCGCCGTCGTCGTCGTCGTCGCCGTCGTCTTCGACGTCGTCGTCGTCGTCGTCGTCGTCGTGGTCGGTCCCCTGTCCGTCCCTCTTGGGGTCGGGTCGACGGTCCGCGGCCGGCCCGCCGATCAGCGCTGCCGCTGGCCAGGCCGACGGTCCGCGGCCACCCCGCCGCTTGCCGGGGCCCGGCCTGCAGGGAAGAAAGGTATACCCCCCAAAAGAGGTGCGATCGAAGACGAAGAGGGCGGGTATCGAGGGTTTGGGAAATACGCGTTATTGGACACTCGAGCATATAAGGGCGAACCGTCTTAAAATTATAGTAGTTGTAGTAGTAGTAGTAGTAGTAGTAGTAGTAGTAGTAGTAGTAGTAGTAGTAGCAGTAGCAGTAGCAGTAGCAGTAGCAGTAGCAGTAGCAGTAGCAGTAGCAGTAGCAGTAGCAGTAGTAGTAGTAGTAGTAGTAGTAGTAGTAGTAGTAGTATAGTAGTAGTAGTAGTTATTGCTGTTGTTGTTGTTGTTGTTGTTGTTGTTGTTGTTGTTGAACATTATTACTTCTAAAGAATAATTATTGTTGGGGCCCCTGGTGCATGGCCCCCCCGCCCGCCTAGGGTCGCAGCGCATTTTCATCATTTTCGTGAGGAAGTCTCAGGCAAAACGGGTTGGTCCGGATCCGGTTGTTTTGTTACGGCCCGCTTTCCCTTGCAAAAAATAAGCTAAAGTGGACATTTCTTGTTCTAACATAACCAAACTTCAAGAACCCCTTGCAAAAAATAAGGTAAAGTGGACATTCGCGCGCGCAAGACGAAATCCTTCCAAAAGCTTAGTGTTCGGAGCGATTTTAACATAAAAACATCAAAAAACCAATGGTTTTTCAACAAAAAAATGTCAAAATCTCATCCCGCGCGCTCTTGCGGATTCGTAGGAAACCCAACACTTTTTAAACATTTCTGTCAAACGGGCTTTTGCGAGCAACTTTTTCGAACTTCTGCAACAACGGTTGCGCACCTGCCAGGGCCATCATCCCTGTCAAATAATACCATGCGGGACACATTCGTTTTTTCTTCGCGCGCGCACGCCGTCGTCGTCGGCCGCGGGGCCCTGAATAGTAGCCACGGTCGTCCGCATGCCACGAAGTGAAGTGTCCGAACGTCATAGGGCGGGAAGCTGGGTGTGGGTGGTGGCGAAGAGTCGTTTGGAAATTTGGTAGAGCTTGAACCGGCCCCCCCACAAAGTGGGGGTATTGCCCGCCTCCTATGAAAACCCTGGCACTGGTGAGAACGGAGTGTCCCCACGTGCTAGTAATTGTTGTTGTTGTTGAACATTATTTATTCTAAAGAATAATTATTGTTGGGCCCCCTGGTGCGCGCCCCCCCTGCGCCGCCTAGGCCGCAGCTACATTTTCATCATTTTCGTGAGGAAGCCTCAGAAAAGAGGGTGTGTACAGGATCCGGTTGTTTTGTTGTAATCCGCTTTCCCTTGCAAAAAACAATAGAAAATGACATTTCTTGTTCTAATATAATCAAATTTCAAGAATCCCTTGCAAAAAATAAGGTAAAGTGGACATTCGCGCGCGCAAGACGAAATCCTTCCAAAAGCTTAGTGTTCGGAGCGATTTTAACATAAAAACATCAAAAAACCAATGGTTTTTCAACAAAAAAATGTCAAAATCTCATCCCGCGCGCTCTTGCGGATTCGTAGGAAACCCAACACTTTTTAAACATTTCTGTCAAACGGGCTTTTGCGAGCAACTTTTTCGAACTTCTGCGACAACGGTTGCGCACCTGCCAGGGCCATCATCCCTGTCAAATAATACCATGCGGGACACATTCGTTTTTTCTTCGCGCGCGCACGCCGAAATCTCCAAAAACCATTGGGCTTCTTAAGAATTTTAGCACCGCGCATCATAAAATCACACGAATCGCACCGTAGGTCCTCGAAAAACACCTGCACGACTTTTCAAAATTTCTACCCGCGCGCGCTGTCCGAATCCTAAAAAAACCAATGGTTTTCCAACATTTATGTTACATGAGCTCGCGCGAGCTACTTTCGCACGCTCTTGCAACGGGGTTCGCGCGCCTGCCAGGGGCCACAATCCCTTGCGGTTGCGCCATAGGTTGCGCCCTCGGCCGCCGAGAATAAAACGTCCCCCTATTGGTTGCGCCATAGGTTGCGCCCTCGGCCGCCGAAAATAAAACGTCCCCCTACTGGTTGCGCCATAGGTTGCCCCAGGAGGCCTTCAAGAGGCCCCAAGGGCAGCGAGGGGGTCACGAAGGGCATGCATATGGGGCAACCACGGGCGCGAACGAGCGGAGGCCACGAAGGGCATACATATATGGGGCCACGAAGGGCAGCGAGGGGGCCACGAAGGGCCGCAACGGGGCCACGAAGGGCAGCGAGGGGGCCACGAAGGGCTGCAACGGGGCCACGAAGGGCTGCGACGGGGCCACGAAGGGCAGCAAGGGGGCCACGAAGGGCTGCAACGAGGCCACGAAACAAAGCGAGGGGGCCACGAAGGGCTGAAGCGGGGCCACGAAGGGCAGCGAGGAGGCCACGAGGGGCTGCAACGGGGCCACGAAGGGCAGCGAGGGGGCCACGAAGGGCTGCAGCGGGGCCACGAAACAAAGCGAGGGGGCCACGAAGGGCTGCAACGGGGTTACGAAGGGCAGCGAGATCCTAGGTAATCTGCGAAGAATCCTAAGCGTGAGCGCGACTCCTGGCCTGGGTGTCGGGAGCGCGGCGCTTGAGTAAATTGCAGGAAAGTGCAACGCAAGGGCGCTATTCTATGGAAAATTGCAAGTAAGTCTCCAGCGAAAGCGCGACTCCAGAGCGCCGGGAGAGCGATTCCTGACGTATTCCAGCGGCTGTGCACCCAAGCTGGTATACCGAACTGGAGAGCGCACGTCTTCGTCGGGCCCGGCGGCTGGGTGTATGCGGGCTTGCGCAGGCTGTTGCATCTCCTGGGTATTCACGTGCACTCCGAGGTGGTATCAGGTCTGTCGTACAGGCGCATGGCGAGCCTGGACGTATTTGTGGCAACACACACGGGACCCATGGGTATTGAGCCGCAATCTATGGCTCTGTGGAATGCCTCCCACGACGTCAACGATGGTATCACCTATTTCCCGAAGCAGGACCATTGGTGGCACATGCCAGTATGGC